GGGGGGGGGGGCTTGAAGTATCACATCGCATTTTTCGCATAGCTCATTTTTTCCTAAATGTTCAAATTATACAAATGCTGTTATTTGTCTGCTATTTCACAACAATAGTTTCTCTCCCAAAAATGCTCCACCCAGTTTAAAATGAGTACCCTGACCCTGACTGTACTGTTCTGTAGTCAGTGACCGTACCAAAAGAAACTTAATTCTTTTCTGTGTAAAGTACACTTGACTAAAGTTTCTCGTGAAATGTAGCATATAAGTTGTAAATATGTTTATTTACCCATTTCCCGAGCAAGACCAAATCGTCATGATGATATCTGAGGACCAAACTGGAAAAAAAATATGTTTTTATTTTATGCAAAAATCAAGATTCAATGATGGTCTTCAAACTAGTTTTTGCTCAAAAAATGAGTCAAACATGTATGAAAAAAGTTGTTTTTTTACCATTGGTCTCTATTTTTTCTTAAAATCTTATCTGAAAATTGTGTTTGGTTACATTTGTTGAAATAATTATGTAGGGAAATGATAAATACCTACGATTGGGATGAAATATTGTGAAATTTGACAGATCTATTTTTCTTTCGAATATATAGCTTTGACATGGATTATTCTAACAAACTTTTTTTATTCTAAAATCTCAAAAAATTTTCAAAATTAATTATTTAAAAATGATTAAACAAAAAACTAGTTTTTGGGTTAAATGTCTGTTTAAGCTGACAAATCTCACAGTAAATGTTATTATTAAACAGAATAGAGCTATTGATCATTTGCATATCACAGGGCTTATCTGTAATCACATGAACTAAACGTGTGTCTCACCCGAGTGGTGTTTAGGAAACAATCGGAGATATTTTGTGATGCAACCGGGAATGCTCCTTCTCTGGTTCACCAATAATATTGATATACATTGTTTGTTTCACTCAGTTTTGCTTTTTCAACACTAGACTTTCTCGCCCAAATTTTTGTCTGCACTTTTTTCTTATATTTTCAATATTTTTGGAAATGAACCCTAATTTTGGAGCCAATAAACACAATTAGAGTCAATTTTTTTACAAAAAAAAATTGGCTGTTTTTGTTCTAGTATTCTGAAGGAAAGTGCAGACTATGAACAGGACTATTTTGTGAATTTGTGATGAAAATAGGGATAGGGCGTTCATAGTGATGAGTAGCATGACTTGTAAAGTATCGACCAATAAGAAGGCAGCTCTTAATTTGATCTGTTCTACACAACTATAATGGAAATTTTCCGCTCACAGGTTCCATAACGTGAATAACTACCGAATTCTCCTGTAAATTCGCCCATCTGAAAAATCGTCCTGGGCGATTTCACGGCTGGTGGACCCTTATTTGGGGTTCAAATTTTCCAAAAATTATCATCAAATATTTTTAGGGGGCTTTGTTGTCATTGAAAAATCTACCTACGCCGACTTTCAACACCGGCAGTTGGACAACCCAAAACGAAAGATTAATAAGTAGCTGGATTAATAAGTAGACCGCGCATCACTCTCCAAAAAATCTCATTAACGAACCTCGTGCGCCAAATACAATTATTTTGTTTCATTTTATTAATAACAAAAGTATATTCTAAAAGAAGTTTCAAAAAACAACGAACACAACTGCATTGCTTAAAGTAGCGAATGATCGTGGTAGCGCAAACCGGTCATGCTGCGTTTTACAATTGTTGATTATTACCTAGTAATGATTATAATAACTTTGTTGAATTGTTATGAAATGCAAAAAAATTTCAACTTATTTCATCGTAAGCGAATTACTCCGATCGCATTTTCAATGCTCAATGCTGTAGAAATTAATATCCACCATGTTTTGACCTGACCTGACAGGTCAAATCGATAATTAACCAATGAAAACGATGGATGATGCCAACGTGTTCAAATTACCATAATGCATTTAAATATGTTAATGTTATTGAACCCAGCATGGAAGAGATTTGCTGATGTTGTTGTACGATCTTTTGGCTTGGATTTTGATGGCAAAGCAGCATGATTTGTTTTTAAATAAAAAAAGTAGTTGTTTTCAAAAGATAAACTGAGCATTTGAAAAATAATTTAACATTATTTACAGTGATAACTCATTGTCGAAACGAAACAAACCCATTCACGCAAGTCTCAATAAACATCAATACTCTTGAATAGTCGTCAATGACTACGGCGAAACTTTTAGGCATCAGAAAAGATTAAAATAACACCTTAAAAAACTGCCGAAAAATCGCTCTGGGCGGTTTCTTGGTCCCAATTTTTTTTTTTTAAAAACCCGAACTGCTGTTTAATGGCCCTCGGCGAATTTACGGCAGAATCTGGTAATGTTTGCCACATATCAATACGCAGGTGTTATTCAAGAAGGCGGCCCATACCCAGTTGGCAAAGAAACTATTAAATCTTTCTCTTCCCATACACTTTCTATAACTTTCCATCTACTTTGATTTCAATTCCACGTCAGAATTGTATTCATTAAGAATACGTTTTAAAGTTCCTGCGAACTCAGACATATTTAAATATACTGTAGAATACTTTATTTTCGCTTGGAATTTATTTCGCTATTTTCGCTGAATGGATGATTCCGTGAAAATAAAATCCAGCGAATATACTTTTTTTCCTATATTTCACATTAAATTCATCAAAAATCAGTGAAAATAAGTTCCATACAAAATGCCCAAAAAGCCTTTTCAGCGAGAATTAATTCCAGCGAAAATAAAGTATTCCACAGTAGTTCGGGTTTGACCCTACCAATGACCCTTGATTTGCATAAATGCATACTAGTAATCAAGCTGTGGTAGAGGTGATTTGAAGAAATACCATCTGGCGTTCATAGTGATGAGTAGCATGACTTGTAAATTATCGACCAATAAGAAGGCAGTTTTTGATTTGATCTGTTCTACACTACTATAATGGAAATTTCCCGCTCACAGGTTCAATAACGTGAATAATAGCAATGAATACACCACAGAATAGACCAGTCGTAGTAATGTAGAGTTGCATGAAGATTTAGGAAATCGGTCACTGGTAGCATAGTGGTTATCACATCAGACTCGTGATCGGTAGACCCAAGTTCAACTCCTATCATGGGCTGAACATCAAAAGGGTGAGTGTGCCACAGACTCAATGGGACGATCAATCCACTGGCCGAGATTCATTCACTAACGAATGCGACTTTGGGGGAACCTTGGTTAAGGTCCACAGGGGCTTGTGTTCGACTGAGCCTGGTTGACGCCAGGATAGTGCATTAAAATTGCCATTTGATAGGGAGATGGCAGCACAGCCCTGTCATGTAGTCCCAAACAGGAAATGTCTTCTGTGGCAAAATGCACTATGTGTCAGCACTTTCAATTTGCACATTCAAAAAAAAAAAAAAAGTCAGGAGAGACAGTGACATTCAATGTCAGAAACTGTCGCCTGGCACACCAAATATTTAAAAAAAAAAAAAAAGATTTAGGAAAGAATTATAAAATTGACAAGGCTGGGCCAGTCTATATGGCATGGAGTGGGAGGGTGGAATATTTATTTCAATTAAAGGGACATGACTGATGCACAAGAGCCCCTTTACATAAACAAAAAAGACTTATTGATGACTAAAACATACTTGACAGGTTGATCAGATT